CCTTGGTCATGCTTATTTTGAGCTTTTTTCAAATCTGTCTTAAACCTTAAGATTACTTTTCAGCCCTAGTCGGTTTGGCTCAGTGGATAGGGCATTGGCCTGAAGACTGAAGGGTCCCAATTCCAGTCAAGGGCACATGCCCTGGTTGCAGGCTCAATCCCTAGTAGGGGGCTTGCAGGAGGCAGCCAACTGATGATTCTCTCCCATCATTGATGTTTCTATCTCTCCCTCTCCCTTCCTCTCTGAAATCAATAAAAATATATTTAAGAAAAAAAGATTACTTTTCATAGAAACAACTACTTTTCACATTCATATTTTATTAATTTGTATGGTATTTAAATAAATTGCATAATTGCAACACACTCAACTATCAAAAACTAGTCAATAAACAAATACTGGTTCTTGGTGAAAATGACATCTTGATGGGAGCCTAAGTGTACAGTTATCTCCGACTGTTCAACATGAAGATCCCATGTGTGGTATCAGTCAGTACATTTATAATGTGACAGGTTTATTAGCAGGCATCAGTTATTAAAACCTTTAGGGTATAAATATTAAAGCTTCAAAACTCATTATCTGAAGACAACATGAAGTTGAAACATGGAAAATCACGATAATGAACTGAAAATTTGATATCATGACTTTGAAGGGAACTCACATACAATAACCAATGGTTTTATATAGGAAAGAGATTGGCAAACTTTTTCTGTAAAAAGAGAGATAGTATGTGGCCCTTCTCACTCCTCGTCCTCCTCCTTCTCCCACTTCCTTCCCTTCTCCTCTTTCTCCCTTCACCTTCCCCTCCTTCCCTGGTCATTCATACACACATACACACACACACACACACACACACACACACACACAATGCTTCAAAAACATTAAAAAAATATTCTTAGCTGCTGACTCTACAGTGGAATGTGGCTAAATTTAGCCAATTGACAGTAAGGACTTTGTAGATTCCTGATAATGTAACATTAATAATCAATTAATAATTTCTCTCCCAAACAAAAATTAAATTGCTAGGAAAAGGCTGAATGGGAAATATAGGGTTTCTGTGAAGAAAATTGTATAATTACATTGATAATAAAAAATCTGAATAAATGAGCTATGTCATGTTCCTAAGTGGAGCTCTTCCTGATTGCAGAGCAGTCACTGTCCCCAAAGTAATTTAAAAATTAAGCCCAAAGCTTAAGATGTGGTTAGCACTAACTTGCTTCAGGTTCCACACTATGCTTTGCTCTTCCCAGTTAAAATTATATTAGGATTTTTAAAGTAGGATGTGATAAGCTTATTTTAAAATTAATATGCAAGAGAAAATGTTTAACCTAGCCAAGAAAAATTTGAAAAAATGTTGAAGGGGGTTTGTCCTACAAAATATCAAAATCAGCCATACATAAGATGGCATAAAATAGACAAATCAATGGAAGAAAAAATAACCCTGGTTTATGAAATTCATGCAGACTTCTTGGAGTCAGATTTTATCTTCAGTGTAGGCTTAGGCTTTTTAAAAGTGATTTTCTATTCGTTTTCTTTCTGTGTTTAGGTATAAGTGTGCTAGCAGAGTGTCTAGACTGTCCAGAATTGAAAGCAACAGCAGATGACTTTATTCATCAGCATTTTACTGAAGTTTACAAAACTGACGAATTTCTACAACTTGATGTCAAGCGAGTTACACATCTCCTCAACCAGGACACTCTGACTGTGAGAGCAGAGGATCAGGTGACTAAACTGCCTTCTCACGTTTATCTTAGTAAGAACGTATGAAATCTTATGCTTCGTGTTGGGATACATGACAAGAAGAAGAATCAATTAGAAAATAATGTATTTTTCATATTAGAGTATCCCAAAGTTTGTTTCATAGGAAAAGTTAGGCCACTTGGTAGAGATAAAGCTATTCGGGACCATGGTAGGCAGAACAGTGCCTCCCCCAAAAATGTCTATATCCTAATCCTTGGAATCTATGAATAGGTTGCCTTACAAAGCAAATGGGTCTTTAGAAATGTGGCATGAATAACAAGCATCCTTAAATTCGGAAAAGGAAAACGGAAGGGTCAGTGTCTGAGTGATGCAATGTGAAAAAGACTTAGCTGGCCATTGCTGACTTTGGAGATGGGAAAAAGAGGCTGCAAGCCAAGAAATGTAAGCGATTGCTAGATGCTGGCAAAGATGGGGAAATGCTCTCTCCTGGATAAAGCATTGGATAAAAACTTAAGGAATTGTCTAAAAGTACAAAGTTCAGTTAATAATTATGTATCAATGGTGGTTCATTAGTTGTAATAAGAGTATCATACTAGCCGAAACCGATACTAGCTGAAACCGGTTTGGCTCAGTGGATAGAGCATTGGCCTGCGGACTGAAGGGTCCCAGGTTCGATTCCGGTCAAGGGCACGTACCTTGATGTGGCCACATCCCCAGTGGGGGATGTGCAGGAGGCAGCTGATCAATGATTCTCTTTCATCGATGTTTCTAACTCTCTATCCCTCTCTCTTCTTCTCTGTAAAAAATTAATAAAATACATTTTTAAAAAAAAGAGTATCATACTAATGTAGCATTTTAACAACTGGGTGCAGGGTCATTGGGAACTCTGAACTATCTCTATAACTTTTCTGTAATCTAAAACTATTTCAAAAGAAAAAGTTTATTTTAAAAAATAGACCAATTCCCATAAAAAATGAACTCATAGGGAGATTAGAGCTTAGGCTTTGTTGTGTTTGTTTTGTTTGTTTGTTTTGTTTTTAAATATATTTTATTGATTTTTTACAGAGAGGAAGGGAGAGAGATAGAAACATCGATGGGAGTCATCGATCAGCTGCCTCTTGCACGCCACCTACTGGGGATGTGCCCACAACCAAAGTACATGCCCTTGACCAGAATCGAACCTGGGACCTTTCAGTCTGCAGGCCGACGCTCTATCCACTGAGCCAAACCGGTTTTGGCTATAGCTTAGGCTTTGTTAATGCCAACCCTAAATTAACAACTTTATGTAGCTCAATATTTATATGGTAGATGTGAAGTTATATAAAATAATGTTTGTTTTCAGTGTGTTTAAACTGTGATTTGTTAACCAAGTTATATTAATAAACTTGGACTTGTTTGATACAGTATAATGAATGCCATACTATTATTTTAGAAAATAATTCTTATATAAAAATTTTGTAATTTACTTTTTAAATATAAAATTTGTAATAATAAAGTTTTTGGAAAGTAGATAAGTCTATCATTTCACAATTCGAGAATATTAGATTAGCGTAGGGGAGCATAGGGCTCAGCCCTGTGATGTACAGTCCCTTTCCACAACGTTGGAGAGAAAGCTGGACCTTGAGTCTGCGCCTGCATATTCCTACAACTTCTCAGAGTCCTGTGGACAATGACTGAGGAGACAAACCATGCAGGAAACAGCGATAAAAAGAAAGTAAAATTAAAAAAAAGAATATTAGATTAAATAAAATCATAGGTGACCTTCATATCTTTTGAGATGGAAGGCCTCTTAGGAAATTAACCTGTTTTCCTGTTACCAAATGTACGTTCAATACAATGATTTTTTTTTTTTCAATAGAAATACACATCCTATCTCCTTCCAAAAAGGGAATGTAATTTGTTTTGAAAAGTCACAAATTCAACATTCTCCCTGTCATTACATTATGTAGCAGTAATTCTAAAAAACATGTTACCTAAAGAATCACTAGAGCTATGTGTAAACTGTTCTAAAATATAGGCTTTGTTTTGTTTGTGTATGAAAGCAAATATTTGAATAAAATATTGGGAATAGTGATTATGAGATTCTTCCCCTTCGATGTGAGTATAAACCTAGGTAACTGTAAATGTTCCTGCCCATCTAAGAACGTCACTATGCTGTTTTTCCTCCCTTAGGTTTATGATGCTGCGGTCAGGTGGTTGAAATACGATGAACCTAATCGCCAGCCATTTATGGTTGATATCCTTGCTAAAGTCAGGTTTCCTCTCATATCAAAGAATTTCTTAAGTAAAACTGTACAAGCCGAACCACTTATTCAAGACAATCCTGAATGCCTCAAGATGGTGATAAGTAAGTTGCTTTTCTCCATTTACAGCCTGATTGTGTAGCAGTTTTTCATGGGCTTTAAAGACTCTTTAGAACAGTGGTTCTCAACCATTTTAATCCCACGACCCTTTAATACAGTTCCTCATGTTATGGTGACCCCCAACCATAAAATTATTTTTGTTGCTACTTCATAACTGTAATTTTGCTACTGTTATGAAATCATAATGTAAATATCTGTGTTTTCCCATGGTCTTAGGTGACCCTGCTAGCTGTTTTCAAACCTGTAGGTCGGGACTGTAGAGCCTAAGACCATCGGAAAACACAGATATTTCCATTACAATTCATTAACAATAGCAAAATTAGTTATTAGGTTTTCGGCTCTCAAAAGAAATTTCAATCATTGTACTGTTGACATTTGGCTCTGTTGACTAATGAGTTTTCCAACCACTGGTCCTATGGTATGGCCCTAGCTTGCTTTCATAGATTTTCTAGGTGATTTCTAATATATGTTTAAGATGGGTAACTGCTGTGTTAGGAGATCTGAATTTCAATAATTAATATTTTGGCAGTTATTGCTTGAAAAGCCAGATAATTCACTGGTATGTAATAGTAGGTGGGGCAATCAGCATAATGGTAATTGCTGAGAACAATAAATTGGTTAGGACTCAGATCCTAACATATTTCTCCTGTCTCTCCCCCCTCATAGAGGGCTGATAGAAAAAACAGTTTCACAAATAAAAGCACTATTATGTTTGGGTGAATTTCCCCCCAAAGCATTAAAGTGCCTGAAGTTCTTAAAGAGTTGCCATGTATTTTTCCACAGGTGGAATGAGGTATCATCTCCTGTCTCCAGAGGATCGAGAAGAACTGGTAGATGGCACAAGGCCCAGAAGAAAGAAACATGACTACCGCATAGCGCTATTTGGAGGCTCTCAACCACAGTCTTGTAGATACTTCAACCCAAAGGTAACTGATTTTTCCTTTTCTTTCGGAAAGTTTTGAGCAAGTGGACACTCGCCTACTACCAGTAGTAATAACTCCTGCTTGTATGATGTGCCCTTACATACCTTATGGGAAACATAGTTCTCATCTTCTTTTTGTACATTGGGAAATTGAGGCTTAGTCAGGTTTCAAAGGTTTCCATAATTGCTCTGGAGTGTGGCACAGTGACCACTGTCAAAGGAAATGGAGTACTAGTTCTCTTACCTCATTTTGTTAGCAACTCCTTGCTTTTGTTACAATTCCTTTTCTTATGTGCCATTTTCAATGAATATTTGCTTCCGGAGTACATGTATTGTTTTTGTTTTGTTTTTGTTCAGTAATTAAGTTTAATATAAAATAATATACAGTCATTTTAGAAAATTTGGAAAACCTAGAAAATCGCAAAGAGAAAAGATAAAATTACCTTTAATGCAACCATCTGGAAAGGATCACCAATTTTAATGTATTTTCCAGTACATGCTGTGCCAGTTGAGCCAGCAGAGCCTGAGTCATAGATGTATGGACACGATTTTAAAAATGGACCTTTAATTATAACCTTACTGGAGTCCACTCACATTTCTATCCCTTGTGTCTTGGACCTGGGTTTTTGGCTGTGTGGGAGATAAAACAATATTTTGCTGATCCTGTAATACAGTCAGTATTTACTGGGACACAGAAGATGCCAGTCCTAAAAGATAGCACCCCATCCTGGTAAGTCTGTAATTGGTGTTGAGTCTAAGCACGTAAGGGTCTCTTTCATCATTTTGTAGGCCTATTTTTTGTTGATGAGAGGTACTTGAAGGGTCCAGAACATCCTGTTGACATCAGGATACTTATCTGATCTTTCTCATTGAAGTGGGTGCTTGGAGGCATTGTGTGTAATACTGTAGTGGTGATGTACAAGGCATTTATCAAAACACTTGGTGGTGGTGGTGGTGGTGGTGGTGGTGGTAGTGGTAAGAGTGGTAAGAGTGCAAAAGACTACAAAAGCCAATCCAAATCCAGAGTAAGTATCAGTTCCAATAAGGGGCAGGCATTGTCCCTTCAACCATGGAAAGGTCCCAGTATAGTTAGCCTGGGATTAAGTAACTAACTGGTTCCCTCAAGGTATGGTATCAAATCAAGGGCTTACTATTGGCCAATAATATTGACAGAGTGGGTCCTGGCCAGTAGAGGATAGTCACATGGTGTGGGGGAGTTCTTTAGCTTCTGTAGCCACTGGCTGATGCAAGCCTCTGTCATTGCCACTGTAGTCACTCTTAAGGCCATTGAGCAAGTATTAGATCGGGGTCAGGGGGGAGAGGTACAGATGCAGCCCTGTCCACATGATGATTAAGAGGTTTTGCTGCAATTGTGGGCACTCTGGATAGAATTTATATTGGACACAAATTTGTATCCTTTCCGGACAGCCACCTGCTTTATCTTTCCTCAGTTCTCCTTGTCAGCAATCTTCCATTCTTGCTTATTCCAAATCTGTACCCATTTGGGTAAATCATTCACCACTGCCTAAGAATTGATAAAAAACAAACAAACAAAAAACAACTGACCAAAGGTTTCCATCCTGAAAGGTATAATGAACAGTAAAAGGAACTGCTTGAAATTTAGCCAAATCAGAATATGGTCCTTCAGTACCTCCCCTGCAGGGACTGTGATGCTTTAGCAGTCCTCTTTGGGCCAGTTCTGTCACAAATGGACCAAGCTCAGATTTCTCAAATTTATCAGCTGATTTTAGGGACTGCCTCCATGAAGACATAATCCTGGTTAAGAGAAAAAGCCTTCTGGGTAAGGGTTGTAATTAGCTGTTCAGGTATTCTGTGCCTTTGGGACCTCCATAAGCCCAGTCGTATGTTTACATATCAGATTATTGGTTAATCATATGCTGTTTATGATTTGGCAGGTCAGATAAACTCCAAAAAGGATTAATGATATGGTCACCTGGATTCCCTTAGTGTTAGGCATTTGCTGTGTGTTAGAACTAGTGGCCAGCCATTAGATGTTTACTGAGAAAATGATACCTGCTTAGCCCTGGCTGGTGTGGCTCAGTTGGTTGGGCATTGTCCCACCAAGAGGTTTGATTCCCAGTCAGGTTCATACCCAGGTTGTGGGCTCGATCCCCAGCAAGAGGTAGCCCATCCATGTTTCTCTCTCCCTTTCTCTCTAAAATCAATAAAAACTTTTTTTTCAAATAGTACCTGCTTAAAGTAGGTTGGCTTGCTCCAGAATCCCAGTGGCATACTCTGTGATCAGATTGGGACATGCTTCAAGCCATACGCAGCACCCTGATGCCCCAGGATTACAGTGTAGCCTGAGCGGCTGAGCTGTACTGCTGTAGCCTGTCTCACAGAGCCTTCTGCTCTGACTTTTTCTTGCAGTTGGCAGCTTTTTTTGTTTACCCAGTAAAAGTATAAAAGTAGGACACCCAAATCCAGGATATATGTCATCTGTAAAATGTAGGAGATTCTTGGGGCAACAAACTACTCTTCATTTCCACAGAGATCCTCAAGGCCAGGCCTCCTTTCTTTGCCAGTCGAAGAGAAATTCCATCTAATGGTCTGGGTAGACAGTAACAGAAATGTTCATTAGCCAGAGTGTTAGCTATGTGCCAAGTTTTAGTGGTTGTTTCATTCTGGTCCAATAAGGCCACATCTGGCCTGGCTGCAACAGAGCCACCCTTCCCGGCAGTTCCTCCTCTGGTTTGGTAGAGAAGACCAGCAACAGCTTCTCCTTCTTATTATAATATACTTAACATCATAATGCGAAGAATAAATATGCCATCCAACATCAAAAAGACCTCTTCAAGGAAGGAGGATCAGGTTGGCAATACAATCTAATGAGCACAATGTCAGTGTACTTAAAAGATTGTTACACCTGCACATCTGTTTCATATCAGCTAAGGATAAGATTATTGACACTTCAGTGGCTACTTAATTTCAGTGTTTTTAAATTTTTCAGGATCTTTTTGAGTCAAGAGCAGGACATTTATAAACTCTTTTTCCAAACAAAAACTGAAATCATAGGAGTTTTGGTTGTAATTCTATAACCACAGCTTTCAGTTGTTGATAATAGTTTATACCCACGTAGTTCCCAAAGCCTAACCAGAATGTTGGATCTGATAGTTAAAAAGACTTAAACATGTTTTGGTGGGAATATTTTATCTTAGCATAAAGTAGATAGCTATTTTGATGTACGGAGGGGCAAGGAGAATCCTGATTTCATTTAGGAGACAGTGAGCATTGTTTCTAGAATAAGACAAATGTGGAATGACTCTTAGCACTTTGTATTTTTGGTCTGTAGTTCTAACACTTTCCTTGATTTTTTTTTTTTTTAATTGAAGTCGAAAAGAGATAACCAGCCTGGAGATGAGAATGTAATTTCAGAATTCTCACTTGATGACTTACCTTACTCCTATAAATAACCCCTACTTACTGTTATTTTGTATATTCAACCAAAAATGTTTAGACTTCTGGTGGAAAATTTAAAATAATTGAGGTAATAACTACCAATAAAAACATCCTCTTTTTATCAATTCTCTCATTCCCTGGTGCTAACACCATTAGAATCTCATTACATTATGTATTAAATGTTTCTGTTAGAAGTACCAACCTATTCCTTATTTTTGCTATAAAATTTCATCTTGAAAAATTTGCACCATTTACCATTATTTATAACTTTTTAATATTAGTTGATTAGTCTTTAAAACAATTGGGTAGGCCAATTTCATTATAAATTATTATTTACCTTAAATTTCCCAAAGTGAACATAGTATTTCATTATTCAAGTAGACTGCTTAATAAAATATACTCTATAGGAATTTTTTATTTTAAAATTCTTGAAGTTATTATTTTCACAAATGTTAAAATGGTGTTCACTATCATTAAAGGGGACCCATTTTTGTGTGTTCTCTACCAGCCAAAAATGATCATTTTTTTAATCTCCTTCAAAGGGGACAATTTAAGCATTGTTACTTAAATTGGATTATCTAAAATTAAGCCAATGTCTCTGTAAACTGTTCTCTTTAGATATTCTTTGGATGTCACTGGTGAGAGGAGGCAGATATTTGTATTAAGTGCAAATACTTAAATTAATTGCTGAATGAAAAATGACAAGAAAGAAAATCTTAATATTTTTTCTGAGAATTGACGGAAAAGGAAATCTTGGGCTGCTGTATTGACTTGAAATGATGTTGTCCAATTATAAAGCCTGCTGAGCTTTCCCTTCCTTACCTGTACCTTTTTTTTTTTTTTTAAGTGTTCAAGTGCTTAGTGATTACTGAAAGAGTTATTTAGCTATAAACAGTACTCTACTCTCTGAGAATTGGTGTTCTCAAATAGTAGCATGGGAATGTCTTATGATATTGATGCCTAAATAAAAGTTGATTTAATTGACCAGTTTTGATTTGGACTCTTCTTGTCAATGAAATGATGCATTCTGAGAATTTAGAATTTTGTAAGGGTCTCGGCTCACCACTTATATATGGTAGAGAAATAAGAGAATGGGTATTAGAGGAAAGGGGATTCTGCATGTTTCCTGTCAAAAACAAAGAAGGAGTAAATCCACAGGTGAGGGCTAGATCCTGTAAATGATAAAGACAGAAAACCGTGGGAAGCCGTGTTACATGGAGCCATCAGGTCCAGTGGGTTTACCCTGAGTACATTTTGTTTTTCTTTTTAAAAAAAAGTACCATTGTTTTTTTATTTGTTTGTGGGATGTTTTTGTTGTTGTTTTTAATTGATTTTAGAGAGAGAGGAAGGGAGAGGGATAGAGAGATAGAAACATTGACGCTCAACCACAGAGCCACACCACTGGGCTACCCTGAGTACATTTTCTTGCTCAGAACTCTGAAGTAGATTCATCACTGAGATCAGTGTCTGGCCCAATATGGGTGTAGACACACCTTGTTTTTATTGTGCTTTGCTTCATTGCGCTTCACAGATGTTGCTTTTTTTTTTTTTTTTTTTTTTTTTACAAATTGTTGACTACACTGTCCACCAGCAAAAATATTACAAATACTTTATTGAGACACTTGCTTTATTGCAATGGTTTGGAACCAAACCCATGATATCTCTGAGGTAGGCCTGTATTCAAGAGTGAACGAACCAGTATTTAACATTTCTCAGGCAGTTTTGTCAGTTAGTCGTATAGGACTGAGTTTAAATATTGGTTGGCCCTAAATCAAAAGACCTGGGGGTTGGGGGAAGGGATGAAGTTACCTTCAAGTCAGAGCTTATGAAGTATTATTTAATTAAGTGGAAACTAACTTAAATTTGTGCTTTAAAAGGAAATTAGGCATAGGCCAGTGGTCAGCAAACTCAGTCAACAAAGCAGCAAACCGCAGCTTGCAAGCCGCATGTGGCTTGCGAGCCACAGTTTGCTGACCACTGGCATAGGCAAAAGAACTGAAGGACTGGGCCATTGGTCATTTTTCTTTTGTGAGGCCTTTTTTGGTTCCTTTTCTTTTAAGGAAAACAACTACTGTGAAGAAAGAGAATTTTACATCTAGATTTATGACTTAAGCAAGTCAATTAGCCTTGATAGACTTCAGTTTTCTGGTCTATTAACAAAAAGTTTAAATCTTAGGATATATGTGAATATCCATTATGTTCACTTGACTCCTTTTTTTTTTTCTTTTTTGATCTGTGTTCACTCAGGTTCTCCTTGCCATCCTTAGTTTTTCCATATTCAAATGTAAAAAGATTCACCATCTTCATTTTTTTCTGTTCGCCTTCCCTACCTCTTCACACCTCTTGGCCATCTGCATTATCTCCTGTACTCTGCACATCTGAGACAGAGTCGGTGTTTGTCCCACTGGTGAGAACATTTTATTAAATGAGTATGTTACTGCATTTGGGGATTTGAGATAATAATTTAAAGTGTAATATGCCTTCCTTTGACAAGATTGAAAATTACACGTTGAACAACAGTGTGGTGATTACAGGGGTGGAGGGGGGTGAGTAGAGGAGGTAGAGGGCATAGAGGGGATAAAAGGTGACGGAAAAATTAAATTAAATTTTTAAAAATTACATGTCAAAGTTTATCTAAAGACAAGTCATGTGTTGAAATATCTGGCAGGTTGCTAGCAGTGGAATTTACCTACTATCTCATCTATTTATACTCAAAGGAGAAGGGCTATTATTGAGCACAATATTCATGTCAGGTTTGATTTTTGGAGTGAGTTTCATTTCATACTTAAATTTCTGTGTAGTTCAGGTTTGAGTTTTGTTTTTTAGTGACAGGTGTTTAGTTTGAGAGCAGGGGGAAGAATGTTTTGTGACCTAAAGCAGCAGTGATTTTTTTAAAAATATGTTTGTATTGATTTCAGAGAGGAAGGGAGAGAGAGAAACATCAATGATGAGAGAATCATTGATTGGCTGCCTCCTACACGCCCCCTACCCCCCAACTGGGGATTGATACTGCAACCCAGGCATGTGCCCTTGACTGGAATCAAACCCTGGACCCTTCAGTCCACGGGCTGACGCTCTATCCACTGAGCAAACCAGCCAAGGCAGTGATTCTTAAATTAGTAATTCCCTTTGAACTGGTCATTGGTCTCATCTCAGACTCCTTGCTTA